ATATTGACCTTGGATAGGACGAAATCCTGCAAGTCAATGGTCAGCTTTTCAAGGCGTTCCAATGCTTTTGTTTTCTTCATTTCAGCGCTTGCTGTTATCGCCGCTTCTTGGGCATGAGGCCCATCAATACTCTTGTTAATTGCTCTCTCTTGCGTACTCCCTGTAGCATTTCCAGACAGCAGAGCCATGGGGTCCACCCTGCTGTCGTAACGGTCGCTTGATAACGACAAGTTCAGGCCCGTTTTCACGCCTTCCCTCGCCGGCACTGAGGTATCCATCCTCTGTACTGTAGACAATGTTTCAATGTTCTCTGACATTTCCATATTGTTGTTGGTGTTGTTCATTTAGCAACACCCGGAGAGCATGTATAGGGTGTTAAAGCAGTACCTACGGACGCGAACAACGCTACCCTCGTCTTGTTAGATCAGTTAGTGTGACTGAAATTTTTCAAATTTCTCTAAGATTTTCGGTTCGATCAGTTTGTGTTCAAAAGTATATCGTAGATTCGTACAAAGTGCGTGAAATACTGCCAACCACGTGAAAATCGATTCATTCATTTAGAAATTATTGCAGCCTAAAAATTCCAAAAATACTGTTTTATTAAACTCCTATCAGCCTTTTGAGCTCGAAGAGCTCAGAAACGTCATAAGTGCAATCTCAAGCGTTTAGGTATGGAATTGGTGGGAAGTTGCAGGGATAGCCTTTAGGGTCAACCGTATTCCAGATTTTTTTTTAAGATTTTCGGAATACTTTTAAGATAATTTGAGAATCAATGCAATTTATTTGAAGCAATTTAGTTGAAATTTTTTCCTTAAATCTTATGTGGAACCTTTTTTAAATAATCTTAAAACATTTTTTTTTAACTATTTGAGAAAAAATTTTGAATACATTTGAGACATTTTTCGGATATTTTTGAGACAATTTTGAAACATTTATTGTACAGTTTTAGAGTGTTTTTACAACAAATTTGAAATATTTTTATAACAATTTTACGACAATTTTGAACGTTTTTTAAATTATTTTCATAGAGATAATTCATTTTTGCACAGCTGTCATGTTTAAAACATCCATTATATTGTGAGAAACATCATGGTTACGATAAAAATAATTATTATATTGTTCCTAAACATTTATTATTGTAAATATTATTAAACTTGTTGTATAACATTAATTAAATCGATTTCTGCGTAATTTTATAAATTGAAAATTCTTAAATAAATGTTACTTGTCTCATTTTGATAAATATTGAATATTAATTGTGTTTCATGAATCATTTAATATTTACACTCCGATACGGTGTAAATTTATTCTACTGTGACACCGGTATTACACCGGTTTAACACCGGATTTTTAACACCGCAAAAGAGCACCGCTACACCGGTATTAATACACAGGTATTACATAGCGGTGTTGAAATGAGTCCATTTTATCACCGCTTTTTTTACAGTGTACACTGATAGAAAAACAATCTTGATGCAAGAAACTTTTTTCTTCATAACTTGAACTCTTGAAACTAGATATAGATATATTTCTTTTAAGAATTTTTGTCTCTTGGTTCAAGATAGGCGATAACATTAATTCAAGATGTTACCGACTTGTGTTAAGAATGGCTTTTTTATGAGTCATTAATTTAATTATTTTCAAAAAATAATTTTTTTCTTTTTGTATAAAAATTAAAGACTATTTAGTTTTTGAAATAAACTTTGATGAATTATTTTAAGTTTTTTAAACGATAATGTTATTTTGATTAAAAAACTTAAATGTATCGATTGAAGATAATATAGCTCTTGATCCAAGAAAATCTAAATCAAGACAAGAAATTCTTAAAGCAAAATACTCATTTGTCTTCCAAAATAAATTCTTAGATCAAGAAAATATCTCTTGAGTCAACATAAATTTTCGATCAGTGTAGAGGTATAATCAGAATTAAAAGCTCAAATTTTGATAAATTTATTTGTTTAATATATGGACCCGGGAAAAAATGATCAGACCTGATCAGACATGAACAGGCATGAGTCTTCAGGCCTGATCAGACATGAAAAATGACCATGCCTGATCAGACATGGTCAGGTCTGAAAGCCCATTGTTACTTTTAATTAATTATTTTGCTTAATTTTATAGATATAGTATTTGATAGAGCCATACGCAATTCTCTATAATGAATTAAAATTTAAAAAAAAATGATTACATATAATTGTACGGCTGTAACACCAGCAGTCACCCATCCAACTACTAACCACGCTCAATGCTGTTTAACTTTGGTGATATCCGTGCGCCTTCAAATTCCCGCCTGCTGTGCTGCTATTTTATGTGACAACAATTCTATGAAGTACATAAGGTATCGAATAAGTTTATCATAAATATAATGGGTCATTCCATGTCAAATCGACCAATAGTTGGAATCGACCCCTTTCGATTTGAACGAATTTTGGTCAGAAGTTTTCTTTTATCATATAACGAAGTTCTGCCAGAGGAAAAAAAATAAAAAATTTTTTTTCAAAAGATATTTTAAATGATCTTTCGCTTGTTTGAAAGAGGACACTTGGAGTTTGGAGTGGCATAACAATGAGAAAAAAATAATTTTAAGAAAAATTTTTTTTTTTAACAAATTTCAAAAATTTATATTTTTGAAAAAACAAAAAACACAGTTCCAAAAATTTCAGGATCTCTTAAGATTGGTACAAGGTAGTATACAAAAAAATTTCAGCAAAAAATTTATTGTCGACCGTCATTTTTGACGATTTTCAAAAATTCAAAATTTGACAAATTAGGCATTTTTCGAAATTTTTTTCCAAAATATTTTTTTTTCAATAGCTCCAAGTGTCCCCTTTCAAACAAACGAAAGATCATTCCTGTATCTATACTAGCGTTAGAGATATTACAAAAACAAAATTGAAAAACTGGAAAAATCGCGAAATTTTGAGTTTGCATATCTTTTGAAAAAAATTTTTAAAGTGAAACTTTTATTACATCGTCTCAAACTTTTTGGTCTGTGTGGTGCATGTCGCGTGACGGTCGGTAGTAGGGATAAAGTGAAAGGCGCTCGTCAGAGAAGCCAAGGCCAATATGGCGGCGCCCATAGCTTGCATCAGCTAACTGTGTAGCATTTATATTCAAATGCCATATAAGACGTTGTTTACTCTCTAGAAAAACAAAAGGATCAAAAATGATTCTTCATGTACTGAACTTTCATAAGAGATAGAATTTTAAAAAATTTGAAATATAAATAGTTCAATACTTTAAAAACTTTTTAATTCTTTTGTTTAATCAGAGGTTATTTTTGTTACTGTGAAATATTAGTTACATTTATAAACTACGAGACTCATGGCAAAATTAAAGTTATTGATAGAATAATTGAATTGGAAGGTAGATTTCGATATAATTAACAGTTAAAAAAATTATGTCAAACAATAAATTCTTAAATTATCAGTGAAAAATCACAATTAATTTTTAATGAAACGACCGTTAGTTCTATTACACGGGCTAATATAACCCGTCTACCAAAAACTGGCAGAAAGTGAAATTCTTATAATCTTAATAAAATCATCATTCGGTAAATGTTCAATAGATCAAATTAACGACGCAATTTTATCAACCATAAGATAAGTTTTAAAGAAAAAAAATGATGTGTGTGTTCTTATGCACACGAGTCAGAAGTTATAGGGTAAAGTCACCAATACCCAGCCCCCTACCTATTTCCAGCCTTCAATAGTATATGCCATAGAAAACTATAGTTTCCTTATGGCGGGGGCTGGAAATAGGTAGGGGGCTGGGTACTGGTGACTTCACCCTACTTCTTTGGCATGAGAAAAAAATTTTGAAGAAAAAAAAATGCGAAAATGATCGCAAAAAAATGTTGAAAACAATCAAAAAAGTTATATTATAGTAAAAATTTAGCTATAACGTATAAATATAAAATCATTAATTATCATATGAATTTAATTCAATATTATTTGAGATTTTTCTTAATCAACTAATTTTGGAGTTGCAAAGTATCAATAATTTACAATTGATAACTATAAAATATTTTAATTATTTATTTAAAATATATTTATCTTATAAAATACTAAATTTCATTAAGATCCGTTAATGACCATAAGCACAATCGCGGCAACATCCCCTAGACTGACCCTTTTCATTTACCAATTATCAAGTTAGGATGAAAAACGCAATTTGAAAACGCTAAATTGATTAATTTTCTGAAAATTTTTAGTTGAATGTCAACAATCCAAAAAAAGTTTCACTTGCATCATGGTTTCATAAAACCACACAATAATTTTTAACTTCCCGCTAAGAAAATTGAAAATTTTCAAAAATCGGGAAGTTATTGTGTTCACCCCATTTTTCGAAAATCGAGTTTTCATCAGATCTCGACGTTTTAAGGTCCTAGGAAGCTTCCCTGACTATTCCCGCGATGGTGTCTGTGCGGCTGTATGTATGTGTGTGTGTGGGTTACGTAACACTTCATCCGCAGACAATTCATCCGCGACGATTGATCCGAGACATTTCATCCGCAGACGTTTGATCCGCACGATAATTGATCTGCACGACGGAAGATCCGCACGACAATTGATCTGTGATATGACGTTTTAACAAGGTTGTTCAACACAGAAACTTGTAATTGTGTTGCGCCCTTTTAACAAGGAATCCCAGTCCAAGCTATCTAATAATTTTTTCTCGCATATTCTATAAACTCACATTAAGATGATCGTCTCCACAATCCTTTCTCAATCCTTTCCTACCAATTATCCTGTTACGTGAATGTTGGAACGCTTCACGTAATAATTATCCGTAACTCCTATTCTTTCCCGCTTAACAGCATTATTTATATTTGTTAAAAATGCTAACCGTAAGATGGACGGTGTGTCTTAATGTATATAGAATAAGTGAAAGGAAATTTAGTATAGACCGGATAGCTCAAATGGTAGAGTAGCCGACATGTCTTCGGAAGGTTCTGGGTTCGAATCCCAATAATGCTGTGAAGCAGAAAAGAATAGGAGTTACGGATAATTATAACGTGAAGAGATCCAGCATTCACGTAAAAGGATATCGCAATAATCTTCATCTTCATCATTGTAATCATAAATATTGACACGATTATATTTAACATCAACATTATTAATAAAATTTCGTTTCATGAACTCTTCGCGGCTTAATACCATGTTAACGACACAAATGAACAGTGGGTTGTATAAGTTTGCCATTTTTTTTACTTTAACTGCAGAATTTCCTGATTTTATAGTTATAGAAATAGAATTGTCATGTGCAATTGTTTTCAAGTCACGAACACGTAGTTTAACCAGTTGATTAAAACTCAAATTTGTTATGAGGATCAATATCATAGCTATAGCAGTATCAATAGTAGCTCGAGATGGTACTCTAAGGTAATTAACCGCTTTAAATGTCACTGCATATCTAAAGATAGTGATTATCAACTCTTTTAAACCAATTATTTCAATATTGTTCATTGGATTATCTATAACCAAACGACCCCGTCGTGAGAAACCAAGCTTACTAATTTTAACAGTTAATGAAGGATTCCATCTACGTAATGTGGAATATATGATATTCATATAACTAGGAGTTAATTTTCGGCCATTTTTATTCGAAGTTGTTTGTAATTGCCTTAAAATGTCGACAATATTGTCATTATTTAAATTATTAATATCAATATTCATACTTTGCAACTTTTTTAAATGGGCATGACGAGTATTAACTGTTGAAGAACGGCATTTCATTAAATTTTCATGAAATAAAATTTCACGATCAGACATCTTGGCTTACTTATCTTAATAAAATTCGTATGTATTTAACAGAAGTAAGATTATTTTAAATCAAGTTTCTACTAATATATATGACAAAAAAATAAAATTGAATTTGATGAATCATTGAAATGAATTACTCATCGATCCATGAAACAAAAGTGACTCTGAGACAAAAATATACTTATAATTATCAATTATTAAATTTTCCATGAATGTTGGAACGCTTCACGTAATAATTATCCGTAACTCCTATTCTTTCCCGCTTTACAGCATTATTTATATTTGTTAAAATACGATCGCGTCACCGTGTGCGTGTGTGTGTGTGTGTGTGTGTGTGTGTGTGTGTGTGTGTGTGTGTGTGTGTGTGTGTGTGTATATGTATGTAAACCTCTTATAAGTTTTAAACGGCTCGGCCGATCGGATCGAAATAGGTGGCGATCCAAAGAGTATCATTGCCATTAATCTTCGTGAAAATTTGAATTGATTCGATTCGCTAAATTTTGAAAAATCTCAAAAACAAAATTTTCGAAAAATGGTTTTTTTGGGAATAACTTTTAAACGGCTCTACCGATCACTTCCAAAAACTAACCAGCTCTTAACCTTGATAAACCACGTCGATCACCGATGGACCGGTCAAAATCGGTTGATTCGTTCGTGAGATATCAAAAACGAAAAATTTCAAAAAAAATATTTTTTCAAAAATCTCTTAAATGGCTTCACCGATCACTTCCAAAAACTAATCAGCTCTTAAACTTGAAAAGATACGTCGATCGCTGTTGGACCAGTTAAACTACATCAATTGCAACCAGTCCCATCAAAATCGGTTGATTCGTTCGAGAGTTATCGAAAACGAAAAATTTCGAAAAAAAGTGTTTTTTTCACATAACGCCGAGATTCCTTTTTGGATCATTTCTGACGAAATAGAATAATTATAAGAGCCCAAAAAATCACGTCGATCGTTACCAAGAACGTGAAAATTGGTTGATTGGTTCGTGAGTTATCGTTGTCGAAAAAATTCGGAAAAAGTAAATTTTTCAAATTTCTCTAAGATTTTCGGTTCGATCAGTTTGTGTTCAAAAGTATATCATAGATTCTGAAAAAGTGCTTGGAATACTGCCAACCACGTGAAAATCGATTCATTCATTTAGAAATTATTGCAGTTTGAAAATTCAAAAAGTACTGTTTTATTAAACTTCTATCAGCCTTTTGAGCTCGAAGAGCTCAAAAGCATACAAAAGCTATTTCTTTGAGCTCGGAGAGCTCGAAATAACACACAAATTGTATTTTTGAGCTCGAAGAGCTCCGAAACGTCATAAGTGCAATTTCAAGCGTTTAGGTATGGAATTGGCGGGAAGTTGCAGGGATGGCTTTTAGGGTCAACCGTTTTCTAGATTTTTTTTATTTTTTTTTCTTTGGCAGAACTTCGTTATATAATAAGAGAAAACTTCTGACCAAAATTCGTCCAAATCGAAAGGGGTCGATTCCAACTATTGGTCGATTTGACATGGAATGACCCTAATATAAAAATTGATTTTATAATATATTTTGATAGTCCTTATTTATTTATTTAACCGAATCTCATTATAACATCACATTTATTTAAATAATAAAATAAGTAATGATTTTAATATTAGGTAGAAGCAGAGCAGACTGAAACATCCAATAGGAAATGTAACAAATTTTTTATTTCAAAATTCTTTAAACGTAATGATAAAAATAATTTTGCACTTTTTGTGATGACCAAAATAGATATTTATATCATAAGGCCATGAAGTGGCGGTTTTCTGACAGCGACGATATTTCGATATGAGCTTAAGGTTTGTGGCGGGAAGGTTCGAAACAGGCGTAATTTTAACGTCCGAGGCGTAGCCGAAGACGGAAATTTACGCTTGTTTTCGAACATTCGCGTCACAAACATTAAAGCGAATATCGAAAAAAAGTCGTTGTCAAAATCGCCACTAAACGGCCGAATGACATACAATATTTTTTGTTATTACTGCTCCATAAGTTTAACTTTTGAGGGGAAGGAGGCAAATAATGACATATTTAAATTTTATGAAGTTTCACAAGGGCAAAAAAAATTAATTTTATATTAATTATCTTTCTATTAATCTTAAAATTTTGCTCACGTCAAGAAAATGTAAATAACTTTTTATTAGTATTTATTTATGGCGTTGATGTTATTTTATTAACATTAGGTCCGCTTCGTAATAAATTGCCCGCAGAGAAATAATTAGCGCCACTCAATAGTAACTAAGACTAAAAATTATTGGTCGGTACGTTAGAATGTGACTTTTATTTTACAATCTCTCTCAATTTTGTCTGGGTGTACATGAAAAGTTCGTAAAAAAAAGGAGGGGGTAAAACTTCACGATAAACAACAAATAGACAGTATGACTGCAATTTTTAAAGTAGTTTAAAACAACTTATTGGATAACCTTGTCACTTTAACATAGTAACAAAATTATATCTAATGATAAAAAGTAAAAAACAAAGAAATTAAATTAATGGTAACTTTATGAATAAACATTTATTTTATAAAATTACAAAATATTTGTTTATAATTATAAATATTTATTTAATTTTTTTTTATACATAAAATTTTTATTTTTAAATAAAAATGATTTTTTTAGCTCTTTTAAAGAGCTTATCTGAGATTGACCAATTTTTGCTTAATTAAGGGGGGAAATACGTGTAGAAGGACATTTTCATGCTGATTTTAATTAATTTTTTTAAGGTATAAAAAATTAATGTTATTTATTGAATTGACGTTCAAATTTATAAAAAAATAAAAAATTATTTATATTTTCATACATAGTTTGATTATGGCCATATAAGACCACATCAAGCCATATATACACAGAAAGAAAAATTTCTTGACTGAAGAACAAAACTCTTAACTCAAAAAAATTTTCGAGTGCCTGAAGAAAGACCGGAGTTGTGTTGGCCGAAGCCAAAATTTTTCTTGAAATTCTATTCTTGGTAAAAGTAATGTTTTCTTAATTTAAATTATCATTATTACTTGATACAATAAATTTTTATATTTGATCAAGATGTTTAGATACTTTAGGGAAGCAGCGCTACCTACTTCAGCTGAGAAAAAAATTTTCTGACCTTGAGAAAATTTTTCTCTTGAATATTTGATATCCATTTTATATTATTTTAGCGTGCAATTATACATATTAAATGAAAAAAAAATGATTCAATGTTATTTGATCTTCCCATTTAACATGTTAATCAATAAAAATATTAATGAAAATTTACTTCTATCTTTATATTTAATTTTTTGGAGCAAGAGAGAAATTTTCTCAAGATAAGAAAATTTACTTCTATCAAGAACTAAATTTTTTGGAGCAAGAGGCTGAATTTTCTCAAAACAACAAGATTTTCTTGTCTTAAATAAATTTTCTTGGATCAAGATACGTATTTCTTAAAGCAAGAGAATTAATTTTGTTGGAATAAGTGAAATTTCTTCACAAAAAATTTTTTTTACTCAAGAAAATAATTA